CACCGAAAGTCCCCATCTTTGGCTACAAAATGTTTAGTCGACAAAGAGTTCCTCTTTTAGCTAATAAATAATTGGTCGCCTAAAGTTCTACATTTTTGGCTACTAAAATTTTAGTCGGCAAAAGTATGTTTGTAATTTAATTTTTTGTTTTTAGCTACGAAATAAAGTATGTTTGTAATTTAATTTTTTGTTTTTAGCTACGAAATATTTTAGCTGCTAAATGTTTGATTTTCTTTTGGCTATTAAAGTTTTAGTCGTCAAATGTCTATTTTTTTTTCGCTACTAAATTTTTAGTCGCTAAATGTCTTTTTTTTTTTTTTTTGTCTTTTTTTTTTTTGCTGCAAAACTGTTAGTCGCCAAATGTCTTTTCCCAATTTCTTTTTAGCTACTAATTGTTTAGTTGCAAAAAATATGATATTATGTTTTATCGCGAAATTATAATTTCTCGACAACCTGTCTATATACAATGCAACCTGTAATACGTATAAAAACAAAATAATACATACTATCAATCATTCCACAATCTGCATCCATATACCAAAAATAAATAACATTAAATATCAAAGTCCATACAAATCAACTATTGTCTAAACTAAAATAATAATTCCATACAAAATATATCATACAAAAATCAAAGCCCTCCGTATATAAAAAAATACATTTACTACCAACCGAAATTACCATCTGGCATGGTACAAATTACCATCGTAATATGTAACCATAACAAAAGGTGATATATGTACCACGACAAAAGTTTTCTATGGACCATGACAAAACGTCCTACATGTACGCCGACAAACGGTATATATGTACCACGGCAGAAGGTGATCTATGTACCACGATAGTCATTATTTGTTGATTGTCAAAAGTTTTCTGTATCAGAAATAATGAACCACACAAAAGTTGAGGACGACAAAAGTACTATATTAGTTCTATACAAAAGTGAAAATTCTTCTCCATACACCAATATGGATTATCCACAAGTCCACGCAACAAAGCCAGCTACAAAATAAAAATAAAAATGAAGCATTGGAATTAGTTACAAAATATCAATTCAGTCAGCCATATGGAACATGTTCTAACATGCATTTAAGGTAGAACAATCGAGAAATGTCTTCTTGGAAATAAAAGAAAGTATATATATATATATATGTATCATCCAATATTTATTCCAACCAACTGTACAAGCAATATAATATGCAATTTCTTCGTCCTATAAATATACAAAGGCAATTATTAGAATATGTAGATGTTATTTTAATAAAGTTGTTGCTTTTTTAACTAAGTGTTGCAAGTTTTTCGACTAAGTGTAAGGCGTATTCGGGGGCTGTTTTGAATTTTTGCCTCCGAAACGCTCTTTTTCGACTAAGTTTAGGGCGTATTTGGCTCTAACTCCCAACCTACAAGTTCGAATTACGTTCCGTCAGTTCTCACAAGTCCTATTTGTCATGGGGGAACAGTTTGTGTGAGCCACACGATGGTTCGGGGGCTATTATGAATTTTCACCCCCGAAACGCCATTTTTCGACTAAGTTTATGGCGTTTTTGACTCATCAAGGCGAAGCTATCCGTGTAATCCACACGGTCGTTCGGGGGCTGTTTTGAATTTCTGCCCTCGGAAAGCCCTTTTTCAACTAAGTTTAGGGCGTATTCAGCTCTAACTCCCAACCTATGGGTTCGAATTACGTTCCGTCAGTTCTCACAAGTCCTATTTGTCATGGGGGAACTGTCCGTGTGAGCCACACGGTAGTTCGGGGGCTGTTATGAATTTTTGCCCCCGGAAAGTCATTTTTCGGCTAAGTTTAGGGCGTATTCGACTCTAACTCCCAACCTACGGGTCCGGTTTACATTCCGTCAGTTGTCACAAGTCCTATTTGTCATGGGGGAACCGTCCGTGTGAGCCACACGGTGGTTCGGGGGCTGTTTTGAATTTTCGGTCCCGAAACCCCTTTTTTCGACTAAGTTTAGGGCGTATTCGGCTCTAACTCCCTACCTACGGGTCCGAATTACGTTCTGTCAGTTATCACAAGTCCTAGTTGTCACAACGAAGCTATCCGTGTGAGCCACACGGTAGTTCGGGGGTTTTTTTGAATTTTCGCCTCCGAAATGCCCTTTTTCGACTAAGTTTAGGGCGTACTTGGCTCTAACTCCCAACCTACGGGTCCGAATTATGTTCCATCAGTTCTCACAAGTCCTATTTGTCATGGCGAAGGTATCCGTGTGAGCCACAAGGTCGTTCGGGGGCTGTTTTGAAATTTTGCCCCCAGAAAGTCCTTTTTCAACTAAGTTTAGGGCGTATTCGGCTCTAACTCCCAACCTACTGGTCCGGATTACGTTCCGTCAGTTGTCACAAGTCTTATTTGTCATAGGGGAATTGTCCGTGTGAGCCACACGGTGGTTCGGGGGCTATTATGAATTTTTGCCGCCGGAAAGTCCTTTTTCGACTATGTTTAGGGCGTATTCGGCTCTAACTCCCAAAACCTACGGGTCTGGTTTATGTTTCGTCAGTTGTCACAAGTCCTATTTGTCATGGCGAAGCTATCCGTGCGAGCCACACGGTTGTTCGGGGGCTGTTTTAAATTTCCCCCCCTGAAACTCCTAACTTACGGGTCCGAATTACGTTCCGTCAGTTCTCACAAGTCCTATTTGTTATGAAGGAATTGTCCGTGTGAGCCACACGGTACTGTTATGAATTTTTGCCCCCGAAAAGTCCTTTTTCGACTAAGTTTAGGGCATATTCGGCTCTAACTCCCAACCTACGGGTCTGGTTTACGTTCCGTCAGTTGTCACAAGTCCTATTTGTCATGGGGGAACTGTCCGTGAGAGTCACACAGTGGTTCGGGGGTTGTTTTGAATTTTCGCCCTCGAAACGCCCTTTTTCGACTAAGTTTAGGGCTTACTTGGCTCTAACTCCCAACCTACGAGTCCGAATTACGTTTTGTTAGTTCTCACAAGTCCTATTTGTCATGGCAAAGCTATCCGTGCAAGCCACAAGGTTGTTCGGGGGCTGTTTTGAATTTTCGCCCCCGAAACCCCCTTTTTCGACTAAGTTTAGGGCGTATTCGGCTCTAACTCCCTACCTACGGGTCCGAATTACGTTCTGTCAATTATCACAAGTCCTAGTTGTCACGATGAAGCTATCCGTGTGAGCCACACGGTAGTTCGGGGGTTTTCTTGAATTTTCGCCTCCGAAATGCCCTTTTTCGACTAAGTTTAGGGCGTACTTGGCTCTAACTCCCAACCTACGGGTCCGAATTATGTTCCATCAGTTCTCACAAGTCCTATTTGTCATGGCGAAGGTATTCGTGCGAGCCACAAGGTCGTTTGGGGGCTGTTTTAAATTTTCGCCCCCGAAACCCCCTTTTCCAACTAAGTTTAGGGCGTATTCGGCTCTAACTCCCAACCTACGGGTCCGAATTACGTTTCGTCAGTTATCACATGTCCTAGTTGTCACGGTGAAGCTATCCGTGTGAGCCACATGGTAGTTTGGGGGCTGTTTTGAATTTTTGCCCCCGAAACGCCATTTTTCGACTAAGTTTAAGGCTTATTCGACTCTATCTCCCAACCTACAGGTCCGAATTACATTCCGTTAGTTGTCACAAGTCCTATTTGTCATGGGAAAGCTATCCGTGAGAGCCACATGGTGGTTCGGGGGCTGTTTTGAATTTTCTCTCTCGAAAGCCCTATTTCGACTCTTAAGTTTAGGCCGTATTAAGCTATAACTATGGTAAAGCCGTAAACATTCCTAGTGGGCTGATTGAGTGCCAAATGAGAAGTTAATGTATGTGAAATCTGATTCAGAATTTCTGAAAGAAAATTTTCATTCTCCAAGTTAAGGGAGCTCCTAGTTGGTAGTGAAAGCTATAAAGGAAGAGCACCACATAAACAGACAACTAAATGATTTCTTATCAAAAAGTTGGCTACATAAAGTAAAAAGTGATTTTAGTTCAAATAAGAATCTTAAAGGAATTATAAAAATAACCAAAACTGACCCAAAAATGCTAAAGAAAGTTGTCAAAGTAAATTGATAAGTTTGAGTAAAAATGAACACACACACGCGCGCACAGATTAACTACATGGACCAAACACATGAAATGGTTTATGGCCAAACATGTGACGAAGTATCACTTAAACTAAATAGCCAATAACAACTATCTTCATTTTCATTTCTCCTTCAGAATGTTTAAGATGATGCAGTTGAAGCTTACATTAAGTGACCAAAGTATAAGGTTCTTTCTGTGCTAGTAAGGTTGATTTCCAGTTCCACAACAAAAACTCATCTCTAAACCATAAGGATGCTCGACCTCTTAATACTTACATTGCTATGATTAATAACAAAAAATTACCAAAAAGATGTATAATTATCTGCACAAAAATAAGAAAAAGATTTTCCCACATTTATATTTGAACAAGGAAACTTTGTGTCAATTTTGATCAAATTGATAACACCGATTACATTTTAATCAATCGAAAATCACTAACAACTTAATCAATGAGACAAAATCATGAATCCTGAGTCAATTGAGCCAATTGAAATTATAAAGACTGAAATTTTAAATATCAAAATAACATAAGGATTGAAATATAAAAAATATCAACGTAATTTACACAATTAAATATTATCATAACTTTAGAGCAATACTCAAATATTTCATCAATATACTTGAGATGAATATAAAACTACTATTTTCATGTGCTTTTTCCTATCCTAATCATAATTTAATATGCATTAACATATTAATGAGTATATTTAAAGTGTTTTTGAATAAAAGACTTGTATGAAGAGTTAGATTAAAGATTTGAAGAAGAATTTGGGAGGCAAGGACAAATTGTTACAGAACATTTTTTAAGATACACTGCATCCACATATAATATATTAACATTGTTTTACCCCAAACATTGCAACTGTCAGTTTACAAAGACAAAATCCAACAACAGCAACACAGTCAACATTTTTTTTAACAGCAACAAAAGAAAGATTTTATTAAATGGAAAAGAGAAGAAAAATATACAAAAGGAGGACAAGCAACACACAGTCAACATTGCCAAGTAAAAAAATTAGCGAGGGTAGAGGATCTTACTTAACAGCCCCATAACCAACTGCCTTAGCTGTTTGATCAAGCTCCTCCTCTGTCCATTCATCAACTTTACCTGATCAAGATTTGAAGAGATTATATCAAAACTTTAGTTTTAACTATTGTATAAAAAAGATGAGATGCTATGTCATGCATGAGTTCATAGATATGAGGAACATAAAAAGCGCTACCTTGCTATAGGAAAACAACTAGAGTTCAAATCATTCATTATTACACCTCGTTCTACAAGAGCTGCTTTACAGCGACTCTTTGCTTCATCCAACAAATCAATTAATTGAACCACTTCAGTACTGCGAGTTCGAAATCGTTTCCCATCCTCTCCAAGAACAAGACCAAAACCCACATGGTTAGTTTTAGGATACATATACAAGACCAAAACCCACATGGTTAGTTTTAGGATACATATTCTCGCCAGCTGGAACCCAACCAGCACGTTTCGCAGCCTAATAGAAGGAGAGATAGAAAGGAAGGCCGTCAAACTCACAGTGGTATGTTACCCACCTCTCTACAAAGCATGGAAAGTCATGAAGCACAAGACATGACATTTGATACTTACAGTGAAAAACATTTCAAAGTGCTCTCGCTGGCCAACATCAGTTACATAGATTATCCGTTCAGCTTTTTCTTCATTAAGAAGATACCTAATTATTGAAAGCAGCTGGTTTAACTGAAATGCACTCATTCCGCTACCACTCCAACAAAAGGTACACAAGTAATGCATGTCCAACCATGACATTTAAGTTCAAATAGCAGTCACATATTACCCAGGTAAACTTTAAAAATGGGTCATAAAATTCCATCTAGCAGATCTCTTTTCAATCACATGGGCCACAAGATGATTCTATCATATAATTTATATCTTTAAAGGAAGAAACATGGAGAGATGCATTATATAAATCATGCAGATCATATGCTAGATTAAACATATATAAGTGTACGGGGAGCAAATATTTCGGCGAGCCCGTACTCCTTTCTTCCGAGCCCCGTTTCTGTCCGATCACCTGCGAGCAAGTAACGGTGAGCTACCCAGCGGTGTGTGGCCGGAAAACCCCTCCGACGGTCAAGTTAGCAAAAACCTTAGGATAAAGAGAAAGAGAGAGGAGTGTTAGAGTGTAGGAATTCCTTATAGAATGTTCGTCTCTCCGCGTATGGGGGGCGCAGACATGCTTATATACCCTCTGCGCCCCATATCCACTCCCAGTCATCTCCTGACACGTGGCTCCGCTATCCCATCTGTCAGCATAAACCTTGCTGAACATCACCTAATCTCAACTGCCTGCCTTCTCAGCTGGAGTTCGGCAGCCGAGCTTCTCTATCCACGGCTGTGCTGTGCTTCATACCCAAGCACTTCACTGGCTAAGCCCAAGGAGGACCGGGCTAGGCGGCATCTCGGCAAAGCCGAGTCTGGGGCACCTCCTATGGTCAGCCTTCCTGCCGATCAAACGATTACCTCAGCTGACCACGCCTTTTCAGGCGCCGGTCACTCAGTTTGACTGGCTCCACCATCGCCTGATCAAGCAGCTCGGTCCAACTGAGCACTGCCCTGCCGAGCAGTTTCTTTACGGTCTGGGGCGACACATACTTGGCCCAACTCCTACCCGGCCCAAGTCCTGGCAGCCCATCTCCGGGCGGATCGCCGGTTATCTCGGCCCCATGCACCATTAGGCTCTCAACCTGCTTGGCCGTTACCTCGGCCCAATTCCAGATCATAAATCTCCCTTTCAATTGCCCCTTAATTCCGTCTGCTAAAGCGTGACTGGGATTACCTATACTGACTGGGATAGTCTTGTCCTCGGTCCGCGGTTAGCAGAATGGCGACCAGGCCGGTTATTATTCCTGGCTTCAGAACTTGCCCGGCTGGTTCCTCGGTCGTCGTCTCGCCTGACCTTCCTGTCGCTTCAACTCTGACGTCGCCATAAATGGGGACACGTGGCGGGCTGCCATTGGTTCTCGAGCAGCTAACCCGCCGTTTTGCCAGAATTTGAATTTGGGCGGTCTCTTTTCCTCTATAAACATGCCCCTGCCCTCTTCCTTCCGTTCTTACTGACTCTTTTGCTTATCAAGCTTCACAGAGCTCCTGCCCCTTGTTCCTTGCCAACGCTGAGTTTGTGCTTGAAGAAGAGGATTCTGCCCTACGCTCGTAAGTCCTTGAACTTCTCTTTTGTTGTCATTTTCTTTGATATTTCACATATTAGGGCATGAAATCGTAGCTTTTAGGCCTTGGGAACCTAAAACCAACCCAAACCCTGCATTGTTAACGGTGTTCTTCATTTTTCCTGAAGAACACTGAAGAACTGGGGCGGACCGGGCTCCTGGTCTTCATTTGATCCAAAAAACCATTCTAATCGAGCAAATAACATGTTTGTCTCAACCCCAGCAAAAGCTGAGATAACAAAAGGAATTGGTCGTTCAACCGGGCTAACATCTGGTCTGCTTGGGCGACCGAGCTCCTTAGTTAGCTTAGACGACCAAGGTGGTTTGGCACTCTTAATGACCGAGCTAAAGTCCAGCTCCCTTCGTGCGACCGCGCTCACACTTACACTTGCCATCATTTTCCTGCAGAGTCCAAGGGGACCACTGTCATTCCTGAGGCTCTCAAGACCGAGCAACAACCAATTACACAGTGCCAAACCCCTCAGTCGGGATACTAAGCCGGCTACAAATGGGGAAATTCCGCTTCCTAATGGATACTCCGGCCGCGCTAGCTGCTTTCAGGGAGGAGTACGGCGTCCCGGCCGATGTCCATCTGGAGCTCGCAGAAGAAGAGACCATGCCTTGGGGTAGAACAGAACAATGCCCCTTCACCGTGCTGTCGATTGTCGAAGGAGGCCTCCGCTTCCCACTGAACCCACTTATCACCGAGTTCCTCCGCCGCATCGGGCTGGCTCCCACACAAGTGTCCACCAACACTTATCGAATTATCAATGGCGTCCATGAACTGAACAATTGACTAGGCACCAACTTAGGTCTAGCCGAGATATTGAGGCAATATACGATGGGTCACACCGGTGACGACCTAGCCTACTACTTGAAAATCAGACCGGGCAAGGAGAAAATTGTAACCGGCACCCCGGATAAAGATTTGCACGACGACGATTTTTTCTGGGTGTCGGGCAATTACGAAACAGCCGAGGTACTGGGCTGGTTTATAAGCAAGGACTTCGGTTCCACATGTAAGCCGCTCAAACTTGCTCGGTCAGCTTACCTCTTAACTTTGTAATTAACCGGTTTTCCTGTTTCCTTTGCAGCAATCTAAGCCTTACAGGCCAATTATCAATTTCCCAACGTAGAGGCAATACGGACCGTACTCCGCCATTGCCACCGAGACTATAACGAACTGCTCGGTTACACCCCAACCTACAGGTACTCTGCTCCGCGCCGGAGTAAAGTAACAGACTTCCTCTGTGCTCCATCACCACTTCCAGATCCTACCCTTCTTGACGTCCCTTTAATTCGGTTGACAGACGAACAAGAAATGGCCAAAAGAAGCCGAATCAAAAACCTTCTCACTACAACCTTGGCCGAGATACCGAGCGTCGTCGCCCGCTCCCCGGCTGCTGGTCAATCAAGTGCCGCCGTGGTCGCCTTAGCTTCTTGTCACGACCCTAACCCGCCCCGTGGGTTAAGGACGTAACCGGCCAGTAATCATGAGATTACCTACGGCCTGTAACTGATCCAAACGTATTTTAACAGAGTTAATGGGGGCCAAACGGAAGTAAAAATTTAAAACTTTGTCCACAGAGTCGTGCTTATATGCACATCAAACAGACCATACTCAGATACGTTAATAACCCACATCAAAAGTATAGTTCCACAAAATTCATTACAGACAGGATCATCCAAAACGAGTCAACCTATGACAGACTATTTATAGACATGCATAAAGTCCTTGCCGGCAAGACAAAATATAATTACATAGAAAAAGGCAAGGATAGGTCTCGAGAGTGAGACGTAAGGCTGACTTCCTCAAAACTTGGTTTTTCCCTAGTAGACTTCACTGGGGCTGGGTTTGGACTTCCCTTGGCTCACCTACAAACACATGAATGAGCGTGAGCGATAGCTCAGTGAATAATATCAAATATAGAAGTCATATGAACAATATGTACATTTATACAGAGTTTAGATCAAGTGACTGCAGTTCTAAACATATTGGCCTTTGGCCCATTCGGATTTCCATCTACGTCAAAACGTCCTTCGGCCCATTCATTTATGTCAAAACGGCCTTTGGCCCGTTCATTTATGTCAAAACGGCCTTTGGCCCATTCGTTTATATCAAAACGGCCTTTGGCCCATTCATTCATGTCAAAACGGCCTTTGGCCCATTCATTCATGTCAAAACGGCCTTTGGCCCATTCATTCATGTCAAAACGGCCTTTGGCCCATTCATTCATGTCAAAACGGCCTTTGGCCCATTCATTCATGTCAAAACGGCCTTTGGCCCATTCATTCATGTCAAAACGGCCTTTGGCCCATTCATTCATGTCAAAACGGCCTTTGGCCCATTCATTCATGTCAAAACGGCCTTTGGCCCATTCATTCATGTCAAAACGGCCTTTGGCCCATTCATTCATGTCAAAACGGCCTTTGGCCCATTCATTCATGTCAAAACGGCCTTTGGCCCATTCATTCATGTCAAAACGGCCTTTGGCCCATTCATTCATGTCAAAACGGCCTTTGGCCCATTCATTCATGTCAAAACGGCCTTTGGCCCATTCATTCATGTCAAAACGGCCTTTGGCCCATTCATTCATGTCAAAACGGCCTTTGGCCCATTCATTCATGTCAAAACGGCCTTTGGCCCATTCATTCATGTCAAAACGGCCTTTGGCCCATTCATTCATGTCAAAACGGCCTTTGGCCCATTCATTCATGTCAAAACGGCCTTTGGCCCATTCATTCATGTCAAAACGGCCTTTGGCCCATTCATTCATGTCAAAACGGCCTTTGGCCCATTCATTCATGTCAAAACGGCCTTTGGCCCATTCATTCATGTCAAAACGGCCTTTGGCCCATTCATGTTGCCTTCAATTCCAGCTCGAGCGTGAACTCGGCTGCTCGAGCGTACTGCCTGCCTACATAGCTCCTCGCTCGAGCGTCAAATTCCCCCGCTCGAGCGGGAACCATGTCTGCAAAAATGCTGGGAGCTTGATTTCTCCGCTCGAGCGGCGCTTCCCCCCGCTCGAGCGGAAGTCAAAATTCTGGAAATTCCAGATTGTATTCTTGAGCTTCAATTCGATTTCCCAGCTACCATTCTTGCATGCAAAGGCTCAAATCTCAAATATAATCATACTAACATGGTTCCCTTGCAAGATTATAGCATTATGAAGTTCAATTTCTTAATTTACCTACATGCATGTCCCAAAACATGACAAACGCATCACCAATATAACAAATTCATGCATTC